ACGCACACACGCACACACGCACACACGCACACACGCACACACGCACACATGCACACACGCACACACGCACACACGCACACACGCACACAAGCACACACGCACACACGCACACACGCACACACGCACACACGCACACACGCACACACGCACACACACACACCACCGCCACCACCACCACCACCACCACCACCACCACCGCCATCACGCACGTACGCACCTGGCCCACCACCAAACCACCAAGACGCCACACCACGTCACACCACAGCACACGCGCATACACGCACACACACACACACACCACCTCCGCCACCACCACCACCACCACCACCACCACCACCACCGCCATCACGCACGTACGCACCTGGCCCACCACCAAACCACCAAGACGCCACACCACGTCACACCACAGCACACGCGCATACACGCACACACACACACACACATACACACCACCACCACAAACAACCACAACCACGCACACACGCAAGCACGCACGCACGCGCACCACCACCACTACGCACACGCGCGCGGAGCCACAGGTCCGCTACGACACGCGTCCGCGGATAGAGAAAATCAGCGCCATGGTAAGGGATGGGAGGGAGGGGTAGGATGTCAGATGTTGACGCGAGCGCACCAAACTTGCCCCCCCCTTCCCTTCCTCTCTCCTGTCCACCCCCCCCTCTCTCCTGTCCCCCCCCCTCTCTCCTTCCCCCCCCCTCCCCCCACCCTCTCTCGTGTCCAGGGCGCAGTGCAGGGGTGGGGAAGCTGGGGGAAAGAGAAGGTGCAGAGGCGGGGGGGGTGCAGGAAGAGGGTGGGGGGCGGAGAGGAGATTGCAGGGGAAGGGGGGGGGGGTGCATGAAGAGAGGGGGGGGCGCCGGAGAGGAGATGCGGGGGGGGGGGGGCGGTCCCGGCATTGGGGAGGCCTTGCGTGTCAATTTTTTCGTCGTTCGCGTCCCCCCCCTTGCAGAGCGAAGCTTGAGCGAGCTCAAGCCCACGCTCTCAAAAACTCACACGCCGGATCGGCGGATTTGATGGTGGTGTCAACAGCATCTTCTGCGCCAAATGCGGCGCCGTGACGCTTCGCGTATCCCCACTAGCCCATCCAGAAACGTTGCCCAGGCGAGCTGCCTCTCAGAGTTTCCTCGGATATCTCTTGGAAGCTTTTTGGAGGCTTCTCGAAGTGTCTTGGGGGCCTCTGGGCGGTCCAGGGGGCCTCTTGGAGCGTCTTGGGTGCCTCGGGGAGCCTCATGGGGCCTCTCGGGGCTATTTTGGGAGACTCTTGGAGGCCTCTTGGGCGCCTCTTGGGGCCTCCTCGGCGCCTCTTAGGGCCCTGTTGAGGCGCTCTCGGGAGCCTCGGGAGAGCTCTTGGGGCCATCTTGGAGAAGATCGATCAAGTATGGGGGGAGTTTCAATTACGCCCCCCCCCATCGGGAGCCCCAAACATCGTCTCTTCGGCCCCTCTTCGGGCGCTCGTGGCGCTCTTGGGCGCTCTTGGGGCCGTCTTGGGGCTCTCTTAGGCCTCCCTTGGGCCCCTCAGGGGCCCTCTTGGAGCTGCCTTGAGTCCTCCGAGGGCCATCGGAAGCGAAGAGGCGAGCAGTTCCTTAGGTTTTTGGGAGATGTTGGCCTAGTGGTGGCCTCCTGGGGAGGCTCCGTGGCCAGTCGGAGCCGTCTTGGAGCTGTATTGTGGCCTCTTGGGGCATCTTGGGAGCCATATTGAGCCACCTTGGGCTATCTTGTGCCACCTTGGAGGTCATCTTGGGCTCTCTCGGGCCCTCCTGGAGTCATGTTGGGCCATTTTGAACGCTCCTACGCCTCGCGACACCCCCCGTCCAGGTCCAGGCGAGGGGGCAGGGGGAGGGGTAAACCCCTCCCCGAAAAGGAAGAGGGGGGGCTGGACGAGAAACCGCTCTAGACCACCTACGCCCAGAGGGCTGGTGGGATTGTCGCGTACGTGCTCCCAGCCCTTGACCTGGTGGACGAGGGTGCTCGCAAGGCTGGATCGTCGCAAGGTGTTGTTTCGGGGCGAGTGGATTCATGTCGAGATTTGGCCTTGTAAATCTCCCGAACTGTCGAGCTCACAGGTGTACTGATCGTGAGCTGTATGGTTCAAGCTTTGTGGGGCAGGACGCTAACCCATTTGCTGTCATCTGTGTCTTAGGATGAGGAGGAGGGGGAAGAGGAGGAGGAGGAGGAGGGAGGAGGGGAGGAGGAGGAGGAGGAGGAGGAGGAGCAGAAGGAGGAGGAGGAGGAGCAGGAGGAGGAGGAGCAGTGAGGGAGGAGGAAGAGGAGTGAAGAGGAGGAGGAGGAAGAGGAGGAGGAGGAGAGGAGGAGGAGGAGGAGGAGAGGAGGAGGAGGAGGAGGAGGAGGAGGAGGTGGAGAGTAGGAGGAGAGGAGGGAGGAGGAGGGAGGAGGAGGAGAGGAGGAGGAGGAGGAGGAGGAGGAGGAGGAGAGGAGGAGGAGGAGGAGGAGGAGGAGGAGGGGAGGAGGAGGAGGAGGCGGAGGAGGAGGAGGAGGGAGGAGGAGGATGATGATGATGATGATGATGAGGAGGAGGAGCGACGGGAGGAGGAGGGAGGAGGAGGAGGAGGAGAGGAGGAAGAGAGGAGGGGAGGAGAGAGGGAGAGTAGGAGGACGGGAGGAGGGGGAGGAGGAGGAGGAGGAGGAGGAGGAGGAGGAGGAGGAGGAGGAGGAGGAGGAGTCGGAGGCGGAGGAGGAGGAGGAGGAGGAGGAGGTACCAGGAGGAGAAAGTGGAGGAGGAGGAGAACGAGGAACGAGAGGAAGGAGGAGGGCGGAAAGGAGGAGGAGGCAGGAGGAGGAGGAGGAGAGGAGGAGGAGGAGGAGGAGGAGTGAGGAGGCGCAAGACAGAGGAGAGGAAGAGAGCGGAGAGGAGGCGGAGGCAGGAGGAGGAGGAGGAGGCGGAGGAGGAGGAGGAGGAGGAGAGGAGGAGGAGGTCGAGGACGGCAGGAGGGAGGAGGAGGAGAGCGAGGGAGTGACGGAGGAGGAGGAGGAGGAGGAGAGGGGAGCGGAGGAGGAGGAGGAGGAGGAGGAGGAGGAGGAGGATGGAGAGGAGGAGAGAGGAAGCGGTAGAGGAAATGGAGGAAAACGAGGAGGAAGAGGAGGAGGGAAGGAGGAGGAAAACGAGGAGGAGGAGTGAGGAAGGAAAACGAGGAGGAGGAGGAGGGAAAGAGGAGGAGGAGGAGGAGGAGGAGGAGGAGGAGGAGGAGGGAGGAGGAGGAGGAGGAGGAGGAGGAGGAGGAGGAGGAGGAGGAGGAGGAGTAGGAGGAGGAGGAAAAAGGCAAATAATGGAGGAGGGAAAGGAGGAGGACCGAACTAATCGATAAAGCTGGGCGAGGATACTGTTGATGACGACGACGATTGTTTATGCTCAAGAGGAGAAGGGGGATGAGAAGGAGGAGGCGGAAGAGGAGGGAAACGGAGGAGGATGGATGAGGCTGAAAGAGGAGGACCAGAGGAAACCCAGGATGCATCAGCGATGCTGCAGTACGCCCTCCCCGTCCAGATCCCCTTCTAGTAGATCCTACGAAATATTGCAGGACATGCCTCCCTTGAATGGCGAGCGTCCGGTCCAGTGAACCTGCCATGCAGGCGAGACCCCGGTTTGTGACGAATCTACCCTGCATCCTTCTAGCTAAACTGGGCGTGCAGATGCCGAGCAGACTTCAAAGAAGAGTCCAGCGATGCCCCTTTTCTGAATCAGATCTGCCCTCCATCCGTGTAAGTGTGGCACAGTATCACAATTCTGGCCATCATGTGAACGGAAGGCTCGAGCGAGAACCCCGCATTGACACTGTCAGCCACGCGTAGAGGGGTGTATGGGCGAGGGGGGAAGGTTTTTTTTTTTTTTTTTTTTTTTTTTTTTTTTTTTTTCGTTTTTTTTGTTTTTTGTTTTTTTTGTTTCAGAAACACCACTGCTTCTTAGAAGGCGCGGGCCCTATCTGTAGATGTGCGGCCGGCGCCCTCTGAGAAGCAGCCTCTTTCTGCGCGCTCCGCCAACAATGCGCCGCCCTCCAGTCGAGCAGCTCTTGTGCAATTTGGTGCTTCGATCGTAGAGTTTGAGCACGTTTGAAGCGAGAGCCCCCCGCCCATGCTGAAAACGAGCCGGCCTCCGTCCTCGTAGCTGTTGGAAACCGTTTTCGGATGTGCGTGACGCCACAGCGGGAATCACCTGTCCATACCGACTCGTAATCCATCCTTGTAGCCGTTGGAGACTTTTTTAAAAACATGTGAATGTGTGGGGCGCTGAGGCGAAAGCCGCATTCTGAAAACGACCAGCCCTCTGTCTGTGTTGATCTCTGGAACGTTTGAATAATAATTTGCGCGGCGCTCAGGCGACAGCCGCATTATGAAAGCGACCAGCCCTCCATGATTTGTAGCTGGTCGAGGCTGTTTTGCTTCAGGATAGCATGCTGCAAGGAAGCCTTAAGCGAAACGCTGGGCATGGCCCACGGACGCGCCTGGTGGTGCGACAGAGGCGACCTGTTCAGAAGGACGAGGGATGAAGGATAAGGATTACGGAAAAGGAGGAGGGGATGACGACGACAGTCAGAAGTCAGAATGATGACTTAGTGTGGACAAGCTGCGGGGGACAGGGTAAAGGAGGAGGAGGGAAGATTGAGGACGGCCGTGGATAGGGAAAGGAAAAGAACACAGGGAGGATGGGAAACAATACGAGGAGGAGGAGGAGGAGGAGGCGGAGAAGGAGGGGCAGCGGGCACCAATGGTACAACCAACAGCCTTTGAATCCGAAGAGGCTCAAGAACTGGCTCCCTGGAGGAGAGGACGGCCAGCTGGCGGTTTGGACTCGGGCAGCTCGCAAGGGGAGGCCGCAGGTTGGCAGGACGATGCAAAAGCACGGCACGCCCACTTCGTCGCTGCGCGGGCGGGGCGGGGAGCCAAACGGGAGAGCCACACTCTTCGGAGCGGGGGGCAACAACGTTACTTATATTCTGGGCGAGGTGCGCGACAGCTCGCAGGGTGGACGACGAGAGGCCGATCTGGTGAGGGCCTCCCTCGCGAAGCCGCCAGTTCGGGGTCTCGGCTGGCCTTCCCCCTTGGCAGCAGAGGCCGTCCAGCGCGAGCGGGGGCCTCGCGCCCTGGTGCGCCAGAGCTCGTGGTGACGTGAGTTCGCACAGATCTCACAAGATGTCTTTTCAGTGTGCGGGGAGCTTTAGGCTCGGTTGAACTAACACTTACTAGACAGTCGGGGCCCTGAAGAAGGAACCCTTTTCGTTGGGGAGGGGCTCCGCGTTCCTTAAGTGTTTCGCAGCTTGCCCCAGGTTTTCCTTATGTTCTCGATCGGACATCGAAGTTTAACTTATGGAAAAAAGGGGCCTCGTTCCTTATTTTGGGTTCCTTAGGTCAAGTCCCCGACTGTACTCCCAGAGGTCGTGAGAATTTGGTTACTGCGTCTTCGATGCTGATCGTGTGTGTGTGTGTGGATTCGTCGAAGGGTGTGTTCCAGATTCCGGCTGGCTTTCTCGAAGCCTTTGAACTTTGCACAACAGGACTTTCTACAAAGCATGGCCATACCGTCCTTGTTGCAATCATATGCTCTTGTCGCTTTCAGCGCACATCTGCTCGTGGCCAACGCAATCACCACTCGCGCTCAAGGGACACACCCGGGCGATGCTCCCCCCACACAGAGTCTTAGGAGATTTGCGATCGCAGTTTTTGGAGCATCAGCTTTGCAGTGGTGTCAGGAGCAGCCCCAAGGGAGAGTCGGGAGGAGAGAGGAGGGGAATGCAGAGGCAGGCGGCTCGGGAGATTGGTGCTGTGCTTGCAATGAACATGATTTTGTCCAGTGCTCTGGTGTTCTGGTCGCATTCCTCCCGCCGGGCTCTCGCATGCTCTTGCACGAGCCTCTGTGCTCTGGACGTCTGCGCCTGCTGGAGCTCCATACCGAGATCGACTCGGGCTGTCGAGCTTGCCTGTGCCTGAGGACGTGATAGTCGACGCAATGACGCAGTACAGCAAGCAGTGCGGCGGCACAGGCCTTCTCTCCTTCGAAAGGGCAGGGCACTCGCCTCAACCCTCAGATGCCTCCTTACTTCCTCTTCTTGCCTCCTCCCTTCCTCCCTGCTGCTCCTCCTCCTCCGCCTCCTCCCCACCTCGCCTCCTCCCCTCTTCCGCACCCCCCTCTCCACAAACCCCTCAGCTGCCCCCTCCTCCCCCGTCCTTCCTCCTCGTCGCCCCCTTTTCCCGCCTCGCCTGCCTCTCCTCTGCTCTCCACCTCCCTCCCATCCCGCCACCCGTGGCATGGGGCAACAACACGTCCCATCCCCGCTGCTGGGCGCCATTCCGCCAGGGCCGCAGTTGGGGGCTGGGCCGGGAAGACGGGTGTGCCGCTGCCTGGACCGTTCGTTTCGCTCGCCGCGATGCTTGCCTCGCGGATCCGAGCTTCTGGAGATCGCGCCCTTGCCCTCGCCGACCCTTGCCCTCCCCACCCCCTCTGGCCCTGCTCCTGCTCCTGCTCCTGCTCCTGCTCCTGCTCCTGCTCCTGCTCCTGCTCCTCCTCCTGGCCCTGCTCCTGCGCCTGCTCCTCCTCCTCCTCCTCCTCCTCCTCCTCCCCCTCCTCCTCCTCCTCCTCCTCCTCCTCCTCCTCCTCCTCCTCCTGGCCCAAGGGGGGCCAGCAGGGAGCAGGAGGGAGCGGGCGGGGAGCGGGCAGCGGGAGGCGGGGAGCGGGAGCGAGAGAGGGGGGCAGGGCGAGGGGCGTCCGCCCTGCGGTTTTCGCCCCAGGGCAGAAGGGAGAGGGAGGAGAGGGAGCGGGCATCCGCGGGAGCGGGAGGAGGAGGAGGAGGGGGAGGAGGAGGAGGAGGAGGAGGAGGAGGGAGGAGGAGGAGGAGGAGGAGGAGGAGGGTGAGGAGGAGAGGAGGAGGAGGAGGAGGAGAGGGGAGGAGAGGAGGAGGAGGAGCAGGAGCAGGAGCAGGAGCAGGAGGAGGAGGAGGAGGAGGAGGAGGAGGAGGAGGAGGAGGAGGAGGAGGAGGAGCAGGAGCAGGAGCAGGAGCAGGAGCAGGAGGAGGAGCAGGAGCAGGAGCAGGAGGGGGCAAGATGCCAGAGGCTGCGATCATTATCAGTTGTTATCGGATCAGAATCCTCGCAACCTCAGTACGAAGGGTGCAGAAGGGGACAGGGACAGGAGGAGGAGGAGGACGAGGAGGAAGGACGAGGAGGAGCAGCAGCAGCAAGAGAAGGCGGACGAGGGAGGAATGGATGAGGGAGGAGGAGGAGGAAGAGTGCAAGAGGGACGGAGAAGTAAATGAGAGGGGAGAGGGGCAAGCTAGGTGCGCTCGCGCCATGTCTGACATTATATCCCGTCCACACATCCCTTCCCATCGCGCTGAAGTCTCTTGAACCTGCCGGTTGGGCGTCCTGGAGAAGCTTGATCCCCCAAGTGATCCCATCGTGTGATGCGCACACTGACGGGAGGGGCGCTGTACATAAAAGGGGGAGGTGGCGGATGAGCAGGAGTCAGGAGGATGGGCAGGAGGATGGGCAGGAGGAGGAGGAGGAGGAGGAGGAGGAGGAGGAGGAGGAGGAGGAGGATGGAGGAGGACGGAGGAGGACAAAGGATGAGGAGGGTCAGCAGCAGCAGCAGCAGCAGTAGGAGCAGGCGCACCAGGAGCAGGCGGAGCGCGAACCCCAGGAGAAGGCGGAGGAGGGGAACTGAGGGGGGCCGCAACGACGAGGAAGGAACCGGGTTCTGAAATGTAGCCCGCGCTTTGCGAGTGCGCCTTTCCGAAAGGAGGGGGGCACGGCGCTGACCCTACAATGTGGCCAGCGCTGCAGTGGGATCGCCACTTGAATGAACGGGAACGGTCCGAGAGACGAACACAGGTCACGGATTGGTGATCAGTTGAGTGACTCTTCTGTGTGAAAACAATGTGCGGGGGAGGCGGCCCCCGCACTGGACATTATCAGGGGACAGAGGATGGTTCTCATGCTGAGCGGTTGTAGACAAGAGAGAGGAGAGGGGAATGATGATAATAATGACGATGATGATGAATCTGATGATGCTGATGATGATGACGAGGAGGATGAGGATGGTGGTGATGATGGTGATGATGATGATGACGATGATGATGATGATGATGATGATGATGATGATGATGATGATGATGATGATGATGATGATGATGATGATGATGATGATGATGATGAGGAGGAGGAGGAGGAGGAGGAGGAGGAGGAGGAGAAGGAGGAGGAGGAGGAGAAGGAGGATAATAAATTTGAGGACGGATATAAGGAGGAGCATCAGAGGCAGAAGCGGGAGCACAATCAGCGGCCGAGAGGGCTGCGATTGAAGCCGAACATGGCCAGCGTGATCGGAAGCAGACGAAGCGGAGGTTGCCTCGCTGGTGCAACGGGGCTACCCCGAAGGGGCTACCCCGCATGTCTGCGAGTCAGCCCATCATCTTAAAAAGCTCAAGTTCCTAGACGTGTGCAGAGCCAGAGGATTTCAGTCACTTCGTCACCAAGGGGGGCATCCGCGTCCAACGTATAAGTTTGTGGAGTGGATGTGCTGCGGCGGTGCATGCGATGGATAGCGGCACCGAGTGCCACAGGGCCCAGAGTGATGAGGCGGGACTTTAGTACGTAGCACGCTGCTGGCGGCAGCCCGTACGCATACTTTACTATTCGGAGGAGCAGCAGAGGACGTGACCAGAAGCAAGACGATGCTTGAACAACAATTCGCTCATACGAGCTACTCAGGCTGTCAGGGCAACGCGATGGGCGTGTCGGAGTGTGTAGTCGCACCGGCAGACCACACATGCAGCCCGAAGGGATCTCGCCGCAGGCAGTTTGGAGGACCACCATCGCGCAGCCGTGTCCCCTTCCTGTGCTAGGGTCTGGCTGGCTAAATCTCCCACGTCTGCCGCTCGGTGTGCGCTTGTTTTTTTGAAGTTTGAGCGGGCATCCTGTGACGGGACCGGCCGGGAGATTGAAAAGGCACCTTTGACAATGAGGTGTTGCAGTTGCCTTCAGTAGAACGCTGATGCTCCAGCCCGGAGTCGCAGCGAAGATTTGGCGATGTCCCTGAGCAGCATGGCGCTCTCGAGAAAGAAGTGCGGTCCCCGCCCCTGCTGCTTTCTCAGCATGGAAGTGCGGTCACATGAGTGATGCACGAGGAGCTGCCATGTCGTCACTCGAATCAATCAAAATGCTCATTGAGCCCCGGCGAGGGCAGCGGACGCGAAACCATGGCGACCTGACCAGGTGAGTTCTGCTGCCTGGGGGCGTCTGCGCAGGTTCCCAGAAACAAATATTGGCCGAGAGCTGTAGCTTCCGTCCTGTACAGTTGTGCTGCCCGGGGGGTGGCGCCTTCGAATGTACTTCGAAACGCTTTTCTATGTCAAGGCTTGCCAACTTCCGCTTCTTGGCTGCCTCCTTGTGGCGCCCGCCGCCAATCCTTGTTCGTCCCCAGGTTCTAAGTTGGCCGTGCGCAATCTGAGATGTCGGAGGGCCCCTCTGTCAGTGAGGTGCTGCAGCTGCCTCTGGCGGAGCGCTGGTGCTCCAGCCGGAGGTCTTCTGAAGATTTGCCGGTGCTCATTGTCGTGGCCTTCTGGAGAGAGAAGTGCGCTCTCCGCTCCTGCTCTCTATCGGCGTGATGATGATGACGGTGATAGCGATGACGACGAGGGCGACGGCGCTGATGATGATGGTGATGGCGGTGTGTCATGGTGATGGTGGTGGTGGTGATGCTGATGATGATCATGACGATGACGTTGGCGATGATGCTGCTGCTGATGATGATGGTGGTGGTGATGCTGATGATAATGATGATGGTGTGGTGGTGATCATGAGGATGATGGTGGTGGAGGTGGTGGCGGTGATGATGATGCTGATGAGGAGGAGGACCAGTGCAAATCCAAGACTCATCAATGATGTCATTTCCCTTGTTGGAAGTGCCCCGTTGGGAGACAACCGTTTGACGATTCTGAAGCGTGCCTCGGAGCTTTGCGTCTTGACGATCCTAAATCGTGCCAGAACGCTAGTCCTCGGATGTGAACACCGCGAATGAACGTAACTGTTGCGCCCTGAGAATCCTGAATCGCTCCAAAATTCTATTCCTGGCACGCTAACAATGGGAATCCTTGATACGCTTGAATAGTTGTAGCACGAATGTGTAAGGCGTGAGCCACACTTTGTAAAGGAACCGCCCTCAATCAGTGAAGATCTTGCGCTGTTAAGACAAATGTGCGCGGCGCTAAGGCGAGAGCCATATTTTGAAAACAGCCCGCCCTCAACAAGTGAAACTCATGCAAATGTTCAAGACGAGCGTACGCGGCGCTAAAGCGAGAGCCACATGTTGGAAGCCACCCGCCCTCTATCTATGAAACGATTGCCGATTTGTAAGCTTCAGGATCTTTCGTGTTGAGGGAGTCTCGGACGAAACGCCCGGCCCGTCCTTCCGACTGGCCCCTGGATGCGGCAGGGGGGAGTTGTTGATAAGGAACAGGAATGGAGGAGGAGGATGAGGAGGAGGAGGAGGAGGAGGAGGAGTAGAAAGAGGACAAGGAGGAGGAAGAAGAGGAGGATGAGGAGGCGAGGGAGGAAGAGGAGGAGGAGGAGGAGGAGGAGGAGGAGGAGGAGGAGGAAGAGGAGGAGGAGGAGGAGGGGGAGAAGCACGACTGGTGCTGGGCACGCAGCGCAGGGAGGGCGCCGCCCCCTCCAGGCAGCCGGGCGTGGCTCGAGGCGCGGCGCGCGCTCTCTCGCGCCTCCCGGCCGGTGGCGTGGAGGTCCCCGCTCGGCCTGCGTCCCCCGGGGGAACGCGGCGGGGGCGGTGAGGTCCCGGGGGCGAGGGCGAGGACGAGGGGACGAGGACGAGGAGTCGGGTGTTGCTAGAAGTGCCCCTGGCCCAAGGTGCCCCCAGCTTTTCGCTCCATTTTGGAGCCCCTGGGGTCACCTGGGCCTCGTGAGGGGTGCCCTAGCGGCCGCCTGGGCCACCCCGAGGATCCTGGGGGTACCTTGGGTCAGGGGTACTTCTAGCAACACCCGAGAGGAGGACGAGGACGAGGAGGATGAGGACGAGGAGGACGAGGTCCAGGGGACGGTGACGAGGACGCGGAGGACGAGGATGGGGGGGACGAGAGGACGGGGACGAGGACGAGGAGGAGGAGGACTGGGCATCATCGTGAGCTTGAGGATGGTGAGGGCGAGGAGGCATGATCTGGCTGCTGCTCCTCCTCTCCTCGTTATGAGTGGGGAGCAGCAGTAGGATCACGGCAGCGATGGCGACGGCGAGGAGGAGAGGAGGGGGGAGGAGGAGGGGGAGGTTGAGGGGGCCAGAGGAAAGTTCGTGGTCGGAGTTCGATGTTGTTGTTGTTGTTGATGATGATGATGATGATGATGATGATGATGATGATGATGATGATGATGATGATGATGATGATGATGATGATGATGATGATGATGATGATGACGAGAATGATGGTGAGGATGGTGAGGATGATGAGGACGATGAGGATTATGAGGATGAGGGTGAGGAGGAGGATGAGAAGGATAATGATCGCGATGATGATGACGATTACGGTGATGCTTCTGCTGCTGATGATGATGGTGATGATGATACTGACGCTGAAGGCGCATATGAAGATGAATTTGGTGCTGAGGAAGATACATCTGATTATCATGGCGAGTCTGATGATCATGATCATGATGATGATGCTGCCGGTGATGATTATGCTGATGAAGATGAGGATGATGATGGTGATGGTGATGAGGAGGAGGAGGAGGAGGACCAGAGGAATCCCAAGATGCGTCAATCGATGCTGCAATACACCCTCCCGTCCGAAGCTCGTTTTCATAAGTCCATGCAAGCGCCCACCCTTGACTGACGAGAGGCCGGTCGGTCCGCCAGTCAGGTGAGGGCGCTTGTTGTAGAGGATCCTCCCTCCACCTGAAGGGCGCCCACAGTAGCCTCCTCCTCCTCCTCCTCCTCTTCCTCCTCCCCCCCCCCCTCCTCCTCCTCCTCCCCTCCTCCTCCTCCCCCCCTCCTCCTCCTCCTCCTCCTCCTACCTCCTCCTCCCTCCTTCCTCCTCCTCCTCTCCTCCTCCTCCTCTCCTCCTCCTCCTCCTCCTCCTCCTCCTCCTCCTCCTCCTCCTCCTCCTCCTCCTCCTCCTCCTCCTCTAAGAGTTGCAGTGTGTCAAGGCCGGAGACGTAGGCTCCGCGGGAGTCGCACACGAGAGTCCTTCGAGGAGGCCCAGGGATAGCCTCATTTTGAGACGGGCATTCCCTCCATCCGTCCTAGCGCTGCCGGATGTCGAAGTCGTGGGCGTCTGTTTCGCGGAAGGTTTGCGCGAGAGCCCCGTCTCGAGAGAGGAGCCGCCCTCCATCCGTATTAGTTGTTGCACAATATGGAGCGCTTGGTCGTAGAGGTCCAGGAAGGGTCAGAGTGAGTGTGGATGGTGCACTCTGTGCTCGAACGTGCGCGAGGCCACGGGGAGGCCCCTAACACGGGGGGGGCGTTCGTTGAGGTATGTGCCCAGAAGGCTGCAGACCCTGGAGGAGTCCTTCTCCGATGAGGGCGGCGGTGAGATCATGGCCGATCCACGATTGGACTTCCACCGGCTTCTAGGTCCTGGGTTCCTTTCCTTGTCCAAGGCCCCCACCGTCTTGGAAAGGACTCGCCATCCGCTCGCGCGGCTAAGGACAACTTGGAAGCCGAGTATGCACGGCGCCAGGGCGAGAGCTCCTCTTTGGAAAACGACCCGCCCTCTATATGTTCTGTGGCTGTGCGAAACGATGGTGTTCGGCGCTAGCAAATCGGGAGCCCAATTGTGAAAACCGTCAGTGGTCCACGCGTCAACACGATCTGGTTTCACCTGCTCCTTGAGGCCTCCTGCGGCGACGGGGACGATGAAGATGAGGAATCTGGATGCTGTTGCTGCTGGTGGCGACAGCAAGCCTGAGAGCTTTTGGGGAGGGATTGTAGCGCTCGGGAGCGTCTTGGAGCGTTTGGAAGCGCCTGGGGCAGCCTGGGGAGCGTTCGGGTCCCAAATCGAAGCGGCGAGGGGTGCCCGACACGTATCGAATCGTGGTGTATTTGTGCTGTCCTTTGTTGGTTTGTCTTTGCATCTTGCGCCCAGGTGCTCTACGGGTCCAGAGGGGTGGGTCGATGTTGAAGATCAGCAGATGCGCACCGACTATGGGATCTCACAAACGATGGTGACGGTTGGGTCGGATGCGCACCGACTTGTAGTTTGTTGGTGCATCGGGTGGTTGGGGTTGGGTCGTATGGATGTACACCGCATAGTTTGATTTACATTGGATGATGGAGGTCGGGCCGTATGAGTGTACACCGGATCGTTTTTTCTCCACATCGGCTGGTGCGGGTTAGGTCGTATAAATGTGTGCCGAATTTACTGTCTAACATCGGATGGTACTTGTTGGTCATCGGATGGTACTTGTTGGGTCGTATGGATGTGAACATATTCCCTGTTTGTATCGGTTTGACGGTTGGGCCGGATGGATGCTCACCGCATACGATGTTTTGCAACAGATGGTGACCGTGTTGGGTCGCGTGGATGTGTGCGGCGCTCAAGCGAGGACCACATTTTGAAAAGAAGCCGGCTTTCACTCTTGAAGCTGATGCAAGTTTTTTATGGCGGCTTTGAGCGGCATTCAGACGAGAGCCACATTTTGAAAACCATCCGGGCTCTATCCCTGGACCTGTGGCAAATTTCAAACTTCACGATCAAAATTGGCGAGGAATTCTCGGGCGAAACGCCCGGCCCAGCCTACGCACACATCCGTTGGTGCGACAGGCAGGCGTTATCGATCAGGAGATGGACTGGAAGAGGAGGAGGAGCAGCAGCAGAAAGCGGAAAAGGGGGATGAGGGAAAGAAGATGATGGACGAGATGATGATGAGGTTGATGGTAATGGTGATGTTGAGGATGATGATTCTTATGGTTATGATCATTATGATGATGATGATGATGATGATGATGATGATGATGATGATGATGATGATGATGATGACGATGATGATGATGATGATGATGATGATGATGATGATGATGATGATGATGATGATGATGATGAGCAGGAGAAGGGGGACCAGCGTAAGCCGAGGATGCGCCAATGATGTTGCAACGGGCCCTCCCGCTCCAAGTCCCCTCGTACAATCCCTACAACAAGCATTCCTTTTTGTTTTTGAAGACGTCTATGGTGAATCACCGTCCCCTGCCTTTTCGACACACCTACGTGGCCAAACTTTGGGCCACGGCCTTGCCACGCTATTGGGCTATGTGTTTCCCCAGTTGTTGTTGAACCCCGTGGGGGAACACTTGGAGGAGGAACGGACAGAAGAGGTGGAACTGGAAGAGAAGGAGGAGGAGGAGGAATAGGAGGAGGGAGGATGAGAAGGAGGAGGAGGATGAGGTGGCCTCTTGGGGGCTTCCTGGAGGCATCTTGGGGGCCTCGTGAGGTCTTCGTGGGGCCTCTTGGGGCTTCTGCGGGCCTCTAACAAGCCGCATGGCCTGCGGAAGCCGTCTTGGGGACCTCGCTGGGCCGTCTTGAGGCCATCTCTGGGGCCGTCTTGGGGCCATCTTGGGGCCCTGTTAGGTCGGGGGCTTTTTGGTCAGTCTTTGGGCCCCTTTGGGGGCTTCTCTGGCCGTCTGTGGGCTATCTTGGAGACTTCTTGGGTCATCTTGGATTAACGGAAGCCCAACATGGCTACTCTGCGATAGTTACGCAAGAACTTGTTGGGAGTCAATTGCTTTGACCTCTTTGGGCCCTCCTGGAGGGCCTCTTGGGCCGTATCAGGGGCCGTTTGGGCCTCCTTGAGGCCATCTTGAGCCCTCATGGGTTAACCTTACATGGGCGTGAGTACAGTTTGGCCCAACTTTGTGATTGCGGTGCTCTTGTTTCGCTGGTTTAAGCTTGTTTGGAGTGAAGTTGCAAATCATATGTTCGAGGGAGTCCTGCGCGAAACGCTCGCTTCCCTATTGTTTCGAACCGACTTCGAACGGGGTTCCCAAGTCGTCTTCCCAAGGGAATCCCGCACGAACCAAATTTGCTTTCCTATTGATTCGAACCGACTTCGAACCGAATGCCAAACCATTTCAACCGGAAGTCTTTCACGGCGCGGAAGTCTTTCACGACGCGTTCACTTTTCTGTTGTTTCGCACCATAGTCGAACCAGGTTCGAATCATCTGTTCGAGGAAATCCCGCACGAGACCCGCAATGCTCGATGGTTTCGAACCGACTTCTTTCGACTCGAACCGACATCCGGTCCTGGTTCGAACCTTTTGGCGAGGAAGCTCCGCGCGTTTCGCCTTTTTCCTTTGAGCATGATAAGAGTTTCACTGGATGGACAAGGCCCGTGTTGCCCAGCCCAGGCTGGCACAGCTCCACGCCCGTCACGTCGTACCAGGCTCGGCGCGCCCAACCTCCGATCCACGCTGCACCAGCCTGGCAAAGGTTGGGCGATGTTTTAGCACGCGCGGCACAGTGGACAATTCTGCGCTTTTGTGCCACTCGTCGGCCAGAGTTCGGGCGCGCCCAACCACTTGTGGAGGCCGCGCCGCGCTTCGTCGTCACGCGCGGTTTCGTGCAAGGGCACAACGCGGCGGTTCCTCAACTCAGCGCCCGCCGGCATGGCTTGAGCCAGGATCTCTATTGAAAGCGCGGTGGAACGACGACGCCGCGGACGAGATTTTCACTGGCAGAGAGCGGTCTGATTATGCCAG